TTATATAGTAATACTATTAAGCTTATTCAGTATAGTTTATGGCTATATGTTATTGAAAAGACATAACTCCTACCATGTTTCACAGGACTTTTTTCACATGTTCACACAAGCAAAAACTTTGTTAGACAGACCTGGTTAGCCCCTCAAGGCACTTACAGTATACAAAAAACTCAAACGGGACTTTTCCTACATGTCTTATTCCTTATAATGCTGGCAATTTACTAATTCCAACAAAAAGAATAAAGTTCCAAAGGCAAACACTGGCTTTAACTTTCAATCTTTTAAAATAAGATGTGTAAATTCTAGTTTTCTTTGAATTCCGTGGTGACACCTAACAAAAAGTTCTACCAAATGTAGTAGGAATTAAGTACGTTTCTTAACTCCGTACCTTAAGAAACATGTAGGAAAAAGGGAAGGTGATCTACTCTGATTAGGTAGCCAGTTTGTCCCAAAACACAAAGTCTAGAAGTAATCACCTCATTTCCTGACTTCCATACCCAATCATTCCCGTCCTGGAGGGAGGGCCACTATAGACAAGAGGAGGAAGCAGTCATGCTGCCAAAACAATCATGCTGGCAAGACACAACCTCTCTCAAAAGGCAAGATTCGACAACGAGAAACAGCAAGTCCTACGCTAGTGACTGTTCCTAGTGAAACAGATTTGGAACAATATACACTTACAGGTGCATTGCTTAAATCCTGTGAAGGAACACAGACTTCAATAACACTCATACACTATTTTCCTGACAGAAACTGAATAATCTCTCCTTCCTCTACTTGGACCACAACGCCCTAGAATCTGTGCCTCCTAATTTACCAGAAAGTTTGCGTGTAATTCACCTTCAGGTATGACTGTTCTTTCCAAACTATGGAAACTTTAAATGACCTATAGTTCAACCTTAGGTGCACTGGGAAACACTTCATACGAAAGTGAAATTAGATTAGATCTGCGTGGTAGTCTGATGTCTGAGAACCGTACTGTGACATGCAGGGCACAGCACAGGCACTTGAAGTGTGGGATGCTTAGATCTCTGATATAGGATTCTTCCTGAAAGAGTAACAGATATTTCCTTTTGTAGACTTTCCTAGTGTTTTATAGTATACAAACTTTAGATGATGCAACAATTAAGAGGAAAACAAAGTTGATCTCTCAGAACCAAGAATTCCCATTTGTTCTTTCTACTTTAAAGAGCACTAAGGACACAGTGTCCATTGGAGCTGCTAGTCTAGAGCAAGATTCTTTCTCCACCTGAATATAATCCCATCTGTACTCAGAATATTGTGTTACTCATGTACTATTCTAATAGCTCATGGTCTTTTCCATCTAGCAATACTAGAGACTTTTAGAGTGGAGCCCAGATTACACCAAGAGGGCTTTATTACATGACGATATATAGTTGGTACAATATTAAAAAAGTTTTTTGTATCAAATATTCTATGGGAACCCATTGCATTGACATGCAGTTTGATTTCAGCTTTCTTCTTATTTTTCAGTTTAACAACATAACATCAATTACGGACGATACATTCTGCAAGGCCAACGACACTCGTTACATAAGGAGCCGCATTGAAGAGATACGGCTGGAGGGCAATCCAATACTTCTTGGGAAGCATCCAAACAGCTTTATTTGCTTGAAAAGATTACCCATAGGGACATACTCTTAACCATGATCAGTGCAGCATATAAACAGGAATACTCATAATCTATCTCAACAATGTCTAAAAGAGTACAACTATTGGCTTTAACATTAACCTTGTATTTCACTAAAAGAACTATGTGCAAAAGCCTGACACACAGCAGGAAAAGGATCTAATTTCCAAACTCCAAACAAACTGATGTGAAAATATCTAGGCGGCCTTGCAAAATCTTCCCAGTTAATACCAGACTATCATTTCAAAGGCATGTTTTTATGTAAACACTCAAATTTCAGATGCACTATTTCCATTACAAATTCAGAGGAGAAGTACAAGGAGTTTTCAATTGTTGCCTTTCTTGGCCTATACCATATATCGAGAACCTTTAAGGCAGATGTTCCCAGCATTCTGCTAAGCTGAGTGTTTCTAGCTGTCTCCATTTTCTTTTATGACTCACACATCAGACACTATGAAGTAGAATTTAGTTTTCTTCCTATCAAGGCAGCTATTTTGTATATTTTCACTTACCATAAAAATATAGTCTTAAACATAGGCAAAATTTTTCAAATAAAATTTCTCTCCGATAAAACAGCTGAAATGTCTAAAGTTTTTCTTTGTGATCACACTTAAATGATAGTGAGATATTTTTAAAAATCCCTTTCATTGAAATATAAACATTGCAAGTTTAATATAAAACATTTAATACTTTCAAGCAGGCCCAAATCAGTAAGTTTGTAAGAAAAATCCCAGAAATTCAACCTCATTTCTAGAGAAAAGCCATAGGTTCTCCAGTGTAAAAGTCTTCTAATACAAGATAACAGCAAGTAATTTTCATTCTACACTGTAGGCATGAGAATGTCGTCAAATACTTTTTTCCAAATATGGGGAAGGAAAACAAAGTCTACGCTGTGGTGTTACCCCATAGCACCTTTCCATTCTCCACACACACACATGTTCACCCACACTGGACGGCCAAAGTCTCACAGCAAAGTTTTCCAAATGCCCTTGGTGAATGAACAAGTTTAATGGGAGTCTCTCAGTGCTCAATCTCATAAATCTAACTTGTAATATTACAATGCTGCCAGATTAAAGTTCTGAAGATAGCTTTTCTCACACCCTACTGAAAAGCCTTAGTCTACACACTGCCTCGGAGTTAAATGCAGAAGTATTTCAATCTTTTAGAAACATGAGTCTAAACTATATATGAAAAATCAGTATCATTTCTACTATAAATTAGACCTTAGAATCAAGCTATTCTCTGTACATACTATACACAGAACAGTTATTTCCATTTTGAAAGCATTTGCTTGATTTTCCCCCTGATCTATGTTTGTTTTTAAATTATGTTCCCTGCTTGTCACCTTGATTCCAAAAGCAAAGTTTTTCACCAAAGCATCTGTGATCTCTTAGGGGCACAATTATTACCCTAACAACGCTTCTTAATTCATTCACTTATTTTGGTATTAATGCTCATAACTATTTTATGCTTTCTTATCATTTTGTGTGCATGCTTTACTTCTCTGTGACTGAAAGCTCACGGTGAGCACATCTGAATTGAATATACAATAAACATTGTAGAATCTACCTAACCAGAAAAGTTCTGTTTTATTTGGAAAAGTACAATCTTTACGCCATCACAGTCCCCACATCACAAAAATAAATGAAGAAATTGGTTTCATCTGAAAAGTGTAGTAGTAGCCCTGAAACGGTTCAGTGCTCAGAAACAGTTCAGACGGTCAGAGAAGTCTATGAAGCATCTAGTTTCCAGAACAATATATTTTCCTTTTTTAAGGATGCCATCTGCTTTAAGTAGCTACTTTTTTTTTTTTACTTTTATTATTACTTTTTAATTTTTTGGAACAATGGCCTAGGGTCTAGGATTTCCCTACTCCTCCCCAAATTCCCAACCCCTGACTGAATTTCCCCATATTATTACAATAGTACAGTCCTTCATAAGCAGTCATATGTCCATCAGCCTGTTATTGAAGTGTGTCCTGACACTGCTGCTACAGACAATGCCAGGGAGTCCAATATCCAATTGTCAAGATAGGAAAACACAAAATAACTCAATAACCAGTAGCTGAGAAAAAATGCTGAAAAGCCAAAAAAAGATCACAATACAAAGTCTGAATTATAAAATTTTCTCAAAGAAGCAACTTTGAGACTTACAGACAAGAAGACAAGAATCGGCATATTTTATACCTTCATAGACACATCTTTAAATTATAGACAAACACCAATTCACTAAGATCAAGAAAATACCAAACAATGACAGAAAATAAAAATATTCTGAATCCATTAAGCATTTTATGCCTTGACCTTGATTATCAAATAAAGCTTAAAACTGAAGCCAATTCACTCCTTCCAAATATTGTTAAAACAAACTATGATGACATGTATAAAATGGAAAGACATCCCATGTTCATTCACTAGAAGATTTAACATTGCTATGTTTCAATTCAAATCAAAACAATCTATAGATCCAATGTAACCCTATCATAATCTTTGTGTGGGAACAGAAATTCTATACCAATATTCTTATAGAATCTCAAAAGAACTTCAACAAAAGAATCTTGAAAAGAACAAAGAGTATTTCCCAACTTCAAAATTTTCTACAGAACTACAGCAACCCAGTGTCCAGAGAAACGGATGCATAAGCAAAATGTAATATATACAAGGACAGAAATAAAGGAAATCTGACCCATGCTGAGACTGACATATCTGATACATGAATGAACTTCAAGGATATGACGCAAAATGAAATAACCCAGACAACAAGGAGACTCCACTTAGGCAAGGCACTTGCTCAGATTCATACAATCAGAAAACAGAATGCTATCTGTTGCTACATGTTCATTCCATCTGCATGCCAGCAGTTGGGCACCTTCTGTGGACTTACCAATCTTTACTAATTCTAACTTGGTTGTGAATATGCTCCTTCATTCCCTCTCTGCACCCCTTTCCCAACATTTGCTGCTCAGTTTCTAAGCCTCTTTACCCAACAATAATTCAGAAGCTTGACACAAAAACTCTGGCCTAGTAAATTAAGATTATAATATTGCAAGGTAAATATGTTGTGATTATATTTTTATTAATATTAATAATTCTACTTTTTAAGGCTTGTTTTTCAAAAAGTGCATTTTAAAATAAGTTACAATCTAACCACACTTCTTTCAGGATATTTTGTAATATATTCATTGATTTGCCATATGTACCCCTTCATTAAAGCAAATGCAAATTCCAGACATCAATAGAATATTTTCTCCTGGTTGAAAACATTAACACAAGGATACTATGGCCAGATCCACAAGTTAACAATGGTTCCTTTTTCTTATATTTTTAAATGAAAAGACTTCACACATTACCTTGAAATGTTTAAATGTGCGCTTACGAAATTCATACCACTTCACAAAATAATGTAGACTTCGGAAAAACATGAAGATATCTCTTTTTTCCTCTGCTCTGTAGAAACAAAAGATTTTACAATCAATAATTTTACTATTCAAGTGATTGACTCAATCTTTATTTTTCTTTTATACATATTCTTAAAAGATTTATTTATTCTTATTGGAAAGACAGATTTACAGAGAGAAGGAGAAACAAAGATCTTCCATCTGCTGTTTCACTCCACAAGTGGCCACAATGGTCGAGCTGAGCTGATTTGAGCCAGGAGCTTTTTCTATGTCTCCCACACAGGTGCCTGGTCCCAAGACTATGTGCCACCCTCTACTGCTTTCCAGGCCATAAGCAGGGAGCGGGATATGAACTGCTGCCCATATGAGATCCCAACACTCGCAATGTGAAGATTTAGCTATTGAGCCATCACACTGGGCCCTCTTCTATATCTTAAAAAGTAATTGATATATTTCTACAGATGGTGCAGTAAACACCTGTATCACTTCCTCTATGTGTGATTGACAATGCTAATTTCTAATTTCTAATTTTCCACTTTCAATTGTTTAAATCTTACCCATTTTCAAATTGAATGTCACAATTTTCAAAAATCTTATTTTATGAGTATGGTGTATTGAAGACTGAAGAACCTGTGCCAGTTTTCAGCAATTGTTAACCCAAAACATTCCAATAGGAGTGTCTTTGTAATGCTAATGACATGATTCAACTTGGCCCTTGAGTCTGGTCAGAGATCAACCACACTATTAGACTCCCCTGCAGGCACATGGACACCCAGAAGACTCAGACCTCTGGTCTAACCCTGCCTTTCAAATTAATAAATCAATCTTTTAAAAAAATTGGAAAATAGAGTTAACAAGGCCACGAGGGGAGAAGGTGCTGGAGATAGTCTTCAATTATGTGGCAAATGATTTAATGCCCGTGTAATGAAGTTCCAATAGAAACCCTGGATACACAAGCTGAGCATCCTGATTGACGAATACACTGATGTGCTGGGAAAAGGGAGGCAGCAATACAGATGCAACTGTTAGACTCCAGAAGGAAGCTTTTTGTCTCCTTGGACCTAGACCTTGTCTGTGCAATGCTTTCACTAAGTTGTTTTTGGATTGTAGCCTTCACATTGAAAAAAATTGCAGAGCCCGGCGTGGTGGTGCAGTGGTTAAGGTCCTCGCCTTGCACGCCCGGGATCCCATATGGGCGCCGGTTCTAATCCCAGCAGCTCTGCTTCTTCCCATCCAGCTCCCTTCCTGTGGCCTGGGAAAGCAGTCAAGGACGGCCCAAAGCTTTGGGACCCTGCACCCGTGTTGTTGACCCAGAAGAGGCTCCTGGCTTCGGCCTGGTTCAGCTCCGGCCACTGTGCTCACTTGGGGAGTGAATCATTGGACGGAAGATCTTCCTGTCTCTCCTCTCTGTATATCCGCCTTTCCAAAAAAAAAAAAATAAATAAATAAAATAAATCTTAAAAAAAAAAAGAAAAAAATTGCAAATATAGAGTTTAGGATTTATTTTATTTATTTGAAAGGCAGTTAAGAGGGCAGGAAAGATCTCCATCTGCTAGTTCAACCCCCAAGTGGCCACAGTTAGGCCAGGCCAAAGGCAGGAGTTTATCAGGGTCTCTCAATCCAGTGCAGAGGCTCAAGGCCTTGGGTATTCTTGCACTGCTTTCCCAGACATGCTAGCAAAGAGCTGGAAGGGAAATTAGGTAGCTACAGCAGCAATCAACATCTGCTATGAAACAACTGCCCTGTAGGAGGCAGTTTTACCCATTACAATATCTTGACACTCAACTGGGTTGTGAAAGGGTGGCAGTGTTAAAGGGGATTTTTCAGTAACCTAAGGGCTCTACCTCATTCAGAACGGATCTACAGAAAGCCAGTTAAAGCAAGGGAACCACTGACAACAAAATCATCAATACACTACAGCATATATCATAGATAATGCCAACTAAAAAATATTTTATTCCCTTGCCTATGAATTAAGATAAATTCTTGTGGCAGCTCAATCAATATGATAGCTTTCACAGTGCTTTCTATCAGTTGAATTTATTTTTTAAAGCTTTATTTTTGCAACGTCAGATATACAGAGACAAGGAGAGACAGAGAGAAAGATCTTCCAACCAACCATTTACTCCCCAAGTGACTGCAATAGTCAGTACTGTGCCGATCCGAAGCCAGGAGCCACCCACATGGGTGCAGGGTCCCAAGACTTTGGGCTGTCCTCAACTGCTTTCCTAGGCCACAGGCAGGGAGCTGGAAGGGAAGCGGGGCTGCCTGGTTAGAACCGGCGCTCATATGGGATCCCGGGCGTGCAAGGCGAGGACCTTAACCACTTGCGCCACCCACCGCGCCAGGCCCGAACAAAAACTTTCTATCAACTATTTTACATTCAAGGAACTCAAGGAAACAAAGAGCACACTATGTGCAACAAATGGAAATATTAATTTACCAATATAAAAATAAATGGAGAAGTATGTTAACTGAAAAATTCAAAAGAAGTGTTCAAAGTAGATTTGAGAGGTAGGCTAATACCCTTGCCTTACATGTGCTGGAATCCCATATGGACATCGGTTTGTGTCCCAGCTGTTCCACTTCCCATCCAGCTCCCTGCTTGTGGCCTGGGAAAGCAGTTTACAACGGCCCAAAGCCTGGGGACTCTGCACCTGTGTGGGAGACCTGAAGAAGTTCCTGTCTACTGGCTTTAGATTAGTTCAGCTCCAGCTGTTTTGGCCACTTGGGGGGCAAACCCGCAGACAGAAGATCTTTTTCTTCTCTGTAATCTGACTTTCCAATAATCTTGAAAAAAAAAAAAAAAGAGGACAATAGTGAGCAGCTGTGCATGCGCTGAACTGGGAGAGAATTCACTGAGTTCAGTGCATTGCACTAGTCCAACACAGAAAATAATACTGATGTTGGTATCCTATGGATCAAAATAGGTCCGTGTGGCCCTCAGATCCAGCGGCCAACAGGTCCTGGCATGATCAGCACCACCAGCAACCTAGCTGTATAGGGCACCTGGTGTCCCCCTAATCCTGGGATCTATTCCAATTGGAAGGGAGAGAAAAGTTGTACAGAAAACGGTGCAGCCTCATCACGGTATCACAGAAGGTAAAGAGTGGTGAGCCAGGAGCTGGGGCTACAGACCATGGTGGAAATCTAACATAAGAACCCAGACCTGGAACATGCTGGAGGAAGTGGCACAAGTGGCTGCAAACAAACAGCCGTGTACCAAACACAATAAGTAAAATAGATCCATGGGTGACACAGCTTAGAAACCTGCCCCAAGGAGAAGAATCTGATTACCACAACTACAATGGCCAAAGGCAAAATAAGATACTAAACAATAAATATTACTAAAGACTCCCCTGCAAAGGAGCAAAAGCCTTTGCCAAGTTCAGAGTTAACTGAGGAAGAAATTGAGAAAATGGGTGATACAGAATTCAAAACACTTGTTATAAAACTTATCAACGAGAAGCATGTTAAGCAGGCATTCAAGGAATTTAAGGAATATATTACACAAGAAATAGCAGCAATGGATCAAATGAAAGCTGTTAAGTCAGAAATGAAGAATACAGTGGAGCAAATTAAAACTACAGTGCAGAGTCTCCAAAACAGAATGAAGGAGGCTGAAGAATCTCAAAATTAGAAGATATTTCCTGTCACCAGGGGCAAACAAAAGGCTGGAAGCAGAGCTGGCTCAAGCTTAAAACGTATTCAAGAATTGAAAGACACTATTAAAAGGCCAAATATAAGAGTTATGGGATTCCCGTAAGGTGCACAAAGAGAAGTTGGGATTAAAGGTGTATTCAATGAAATATTAAGGGAAAATTTCCCTAATCTAGACAAACAATTGGGAAACAACATCTAGAAGGGACAGAGTTCCCAACAGGGTTAACCAAAAGTGATCTTCACCACAACACATGATCATCAAGCTCTCTGCAAATGAACATAAGGAAAAGATCCTTAAATGTGCACCTGAGAGGTCTGGTGTGGTAGCGGAGCAGCTTAAGTCCTCGCCCTGCACACACCAGGATCCCATATGGTTGCCGGTTCTGATCGCAGTGGCCCCTATTCCCTTCCAGCTCCCTGGTGTGGCCTGGGAAAGCAGCTGAGGATGGCCCAAAGCCTTGGAACCCCGCACCTGCTTGGGAGACCCAGAAGAGCTCCTGGCTCCTAGCTTTGGATTGGCCCAGCTCTGGCCATTGCGATCACTTGGGGAGTGAATCACCGGGTGGAAGATCTTCCTGTCTCTCCTTCTCTCTATATATTTGATTTGCAATAAAAATAAATACATTTTTAAAAATACATAAATAAATCTTAAATATATATACACAATAAGGTAAACACATGATAATCATAACAGATAACATGATTAACAGCAACCTTTAAATCTACTGTTTATTTTCTAAATGATTTCAAGTACAGTGTTAAAAACAACAATTATTACCCTAAATGTTGGTGTAATGGTCCCTAGGCATTTGTGGCATACTGATTATAGTACCATACTCCCCCTCAATAAAATCCATGGATTTTTTTAGTTTCTTATACAAAGTGGCATAATATTTGCATGGTATTTACATATATCCTCCCTATATGTTAAATAATTTCTAAATTATTGATAGGACAAATTAGGTACTATATAGCTAGTTGTTATACTGAATGATTATGAAACAGTAAGAAGATAAAAGGTTTATAGATGTTTAATACTGGTACATTTTTCTGAAGACTTTCAATCCTTGATATGAAGACCAAATGTGCAAAGGCAACTTGCTTTTTTTTGTAACTTGAGAAAGTAATGTATTTTAAACAATTACTAGTGTATATTTGGCAGCATGAAACTATAAACATGATTTTGTGGTGTAAATAACTGAAAAGAATAAGGATGTTGTAACAGAACAGTTTGCCTACACTACTGAACTTAAGCTAGCATAAATTCAAACCACAGTATTACAGTTGTAGGATATTAAATTGAATTCCCATAATATCACACCGTAAAAATCAGTTGTGCAATGTAACAAAATTAGGACATTCAAAATCTCTTAATACAGAAAAATA